GCCGCAACCCACGCCAGGCGTGCCTCGGGCGCTCGTGAGCGCTATCTCCGAGCTATCTTTGAAGGACGCCACAGTCGGCGCCTTAGGCGTAGCCTCTGCGCCCGCTGCGGCCGCCGCCCACGCCAGGCGTGCCTCGGGCGCTCGTGAGCGCTATCTCCGAGCTATCTTTGAAGGACGCCACAGTCGGCGCCTTCGCTGTAGCCCTTGCGGCCGCTGCGGCCGCCGCCCACGCCGGGCGTGGCTCGGGCGCTCGTGAGCGCTATCTCCGAGCTATCTTTGAAGGACGCCACAGTCGGCGCCTTCGCTGTAGCCTTTGCGCCCGCTGCGGCCGCCGCCCACGCCAGGCGTGCCGCGGGCGCTCGCGAGCGCTATCTCCGAGCTATCTTTGAAGGACGCCACAGTCGGCGCCTTCGCGGTAGCCTTTGCGCCCGCTGCGGCCGCCGCCCACGCCAGGCGTGCCTCGGGCGCTCGTGAGCGCTATCTCCGAGCTATCTTTGAAGGACGCCACAGCCGGCGCCTTCGCTGTAGCCTTTGCCCGCCTTGTGCGGCGCGCCCACGCCACGCGTGCACGCGGGGCCGTCGTTGAGCCGCTAATCTCGAGCTATCTTTGAGAGGGACGCCACAGCCGGCGCCTTCGCTGTAGCCTTTATTTTTTTTTTTTTTTGTTTTTTTTTTTTTTTTTTTTTTTTTTGTTTTTTTTTTTTTTGTGTTTTTTATCTTTTTTTTTCTTGGCGGCCCGCTGCGGGCCGGCCGCCACGCCAGGAGCCAGGCGTGCAGCGGAGGCGCTCGTGAAGCGCTATCTCCGAGCTATGGCGGAAGGACGCACAGCGGCGCCTGTACGGAGCCTTTGCGGCCCCGCTGCGGCCGCCTGCCCAAGCCAGGCGTGCCTCGGGAGCTTAGTGGAGGCGCTATCTCCGAGCTATCTTTGAAGGACGCCACAGTCGGCGCCTTCGCTGTAGTTTTTGCGCCCGCTGCGGCCGCAACCCACGCCAGGCGTGCTTCGGGCGCTCCTGAGCGCTATCTCCGAGCTATCTTTGAAGGACGCCACAGTCGGCGCCTTCGGTGTAGCCTTTGCGCTTGCTGCGGCCGCAATCCACGCCGGGCGTGCCTCGGGCGCTCCTGAGCGCTATCTGCGAGCTATCTTTGAAGGACGCAACACTCGGCGACTTCGCTGTAGTCTTGGCGCCCCGCTGACGGGCCGCAACCCCACGCATTGGCCGTTGCCTCGGGCGCTTCCTGAGCGCTATCTTCCGAGATCATTCTTTGAAGGACGCCACAGTCTGCTACTTTTCGATGTAAGCCTTGGCGCCCGCTGGGCCGCAACCCGAAGCCCAGGCGTGCCTCGGGCGCTGCGTTGCGCTGAAATCTGCGCGGCCGCCGCTTGAAGGACGCCACACTCGGCGCCTTCGCTGTTCTCTTTGCGGCCGCTGCGGCCGCAACCCACGCCAGGCGTGCCTCGGGCGCTCCTGAGCGCTATCTGCGAGCTATCTTTGAAGGACGCCACACTCGGCGCCTTCGCTGAAGTCTTTGCGCCCGCTGCGGCCGCAACCCACGCCAGGCGTGCCTCGGGCGCTCGTGAGCGCTATCTCCGAGCTATCTTTGAAGGACGCCACAGTCGGCGCCTTCGCTGTAGCCTTTGCGCTCGCTGAGGCCGCAGCCCACGCCAGGCGTGCCTCGGGCGCTCGTCACCGCTATCTCCGAGCTATCTTTGAAGGACGCCACAGACGGCGCCTTCGGTCCTGCCCCGGCGCGGTGGTCCAGAAGCTCGTCGATGCATCGGGGATGCGCGTGAGGGCGCCGAAGCATGGTGAAAGATTTTGTGCGTCGCGCGGCTGGCCGTGGCTCCTGGGCGCTATCTCCGAGCTATCTTTGAAGGACGCCACAGACGGCGCCTTCGGTCCTGCCCCGGCGCGGTGGTCCAGAAGCTCGTCGATGCATCGGGGATGCGCGTGAGCGCGCCGAAGCATGGTGAAAGGTTTTGTGTGTCGCGCGGCTGGCCGTGACGCATCGGCGATGCATTCCGCGGGCACTTGCGTCCCGGAGCAGTGTCTCGTAGAGCATGTCAGAGTTTCGGAAACTCCGAAGGCATTGGCGTTGTTTCGGTCGTCGCACGGTTCTGCCATAGGCGATGCAGTGTGAGCAAGACAAATTGCACACAGCTCTGGCCATTCACGGACTCGGGAGAGGAGAGGCGACGCACGGGCAGTGTTGGAGAGTGCGTTGTATGGCATGACACGCGCACGTGTTCGCAGGGTGGAAGGGGGAGAGCGAGGGGGAGGGTCTGGCTCCCCCTCGCACACTGTTGAAATGAACATGCGTTGCCAGGGACGAGTTGCTCGCGCACAGGTCTAGGAAACAGTTCCGAACACATCTTTCGCAGAGGACAGTAGAGACAGGTGTATTGGCGATGTGCTGGAGTAGTTTCATTCGGAGCAGGGGAGCGTTTTCTGCGACGGATGGAGAGGATTGCATGTGGGCGGTGGCATTCTCAACGGGCAGGCGTCGGGCAGGGCAGAGGGCAGGGGGCGTGTTTAGTTGCAGCAACCTTGGATCTGCCTTTGCTCACCGCAACATGAGTCGCGATGTCGTTGGTTCCGTTGCCGCTTTGGCTCAAGCCTGATTTCGCCACCGCTTGGCACGCGCACCTGGCAGCCATCGTTGGCAGGCATCAGCCGTCGCATCCACCTTCAGCGCACTCTCGCGGCGATGGGCCCTCGGCGCTGCTCTGGCTTTGCGACCGACGACGGGATCGTCATCGAGTGCTGCTTCAATCCGTGGGAGAAGGGCAAGCGCGCGCAGGGCAAGTTCGAGGGGAAGTGTCAGTGGTGCTCTCCCATTCGCATGGCAACCATCTGCGCGACGCCGCAGCAGTCCAAGCTGACCGCGCACAGCCTGGCGAACCTGCACGAGCTTGACATCGGCATCTACGACATGGCCGTGGAGCGGCTGAAGATGCACGAGAGGGGCGATCAGCTCATTGCCCGCGCTGTCGGCATAATCTCGGAGCGCTCGCAGGTGGGCGTGCCGCCACCGCCGCCAATCGAGGGTGACCAGGGCAACGTGGTCTCGCAGGCCGCCGAGGAGGAGATTCCTGCTGCCATGGAGCCCGACGAGGAAGCAGCCGCTGCAGGGCCACCAGCTGCAGCGGAGCCGCCGCCAGTACTCGCGGAAGGCGAAGGCGCGGCCGCAGGGAGCAGACGCCATCGCCTGTGCGAGGGGTACAGCCTGGCGCGCGCCATGGGCCGCAGGCTCCGCAGCAAGGAGGACGAGGGCGTCTGCTTGTTCTCCCGAGAGCATCCTGGACAGCGTGCTCGAGCCCTCGACGGGAAGTGCCTCTGGTGCACGCCTGCTCGCATGAAGGAGGCGGCAAGCAATCCCGCCAAGAAGAAGGAGGCCATGACCGACCTGAAGAAGATCGAAGCTCGTAACCCTGCGCTGAAGCAGAAGGCGCTGGGGCGGCTGCGCAGGCACCTCACCGCGCAGGAATATAAGGTCATCGTCATGCCGCACAACTGCTGCCGCGGCGCAGGGGATGCCATGTGCCCCTTCAGCACGGCGAACCCAGGGCAGCCCGCGTACGTGAAGAAGGCAGACAAGCACCTGTGCAGTTGGTGCGACCCGCCGAGGCTGCGCGGCATGCAGGGCGTGAAGCGCAACGGCTTGCTGACGCAGCTGAAGGTATTCCGCGAGAAGGATGAGGCCGTATCTTGCCAAGGCCGAGGCAATCCTGAAGGAGGTCTTCGGGGACAACTACCTCGCACAGCTAAAGAAGAAGACTGTCCGGCAGAACCAGCAGGCGGCAAAAGCTCGAAGGCGCACTGGCAAGACGAACTGGCCCACGAAGCTGGCAAAACGGCGGCTGGCGATGGAGAGCCCGACGGTCGACGAGGAAGCTCGCAAGAAGTTCCGCAAGCTAGCCCTGGCGGACTTGAAGAAGGTCGAGAACTCGTTCTACAAGGACAAAGCCGAACGAAAGTTGCGCGGTCGCGCCGACGAGGTCCCAAAGAGCAAGGATTTGGAACCGCCGATTGGCGAAGCAGGCTTCAGTGATCTGTCGAAGGGGCTGCGGTCCTGGGCCGCCAAAGGCTCTTGGGGCATTTGCAAGGAGTGCCATGTCCTGCAGCCGCGGCCCATGCACGAGATCGATATGTTCCTGGATGCCAGCGAGGAGATCTCGAAGAGCGCCTGTCGCCGCTGCAACGCCTCTCGCGAGATGTACGTCCCGCTGCCTGATGACGTACCAGGGCCACTCCGCGGCCTGTCAGAGGACATCGTCGAGGCCCTCCGGCCCATCGAGATCGACGTCGGCCCCGAGACGCGCTCCACCGACACGTTCGGCCGCCCGAACGGCTACCGCAAGAAGGTGAAGATGATCACGTTCTATTTCTCGAAGTGGCACGTCAAGGACAAGATCAAGGAGCTGGACGATGACGCGTGGCGGACGGCGAAGAAGGCTTACAAGTACCTGCTGTCTTGCGAAGAGTCCTCGTGCAAGCGGTTCCAGCATGCATGGCGAGGACGCTGCCGACAGGAAGCGCAAGCGCCCATATCATTTCCTGCAGGAGGTCGGGCTGGAGTGCGCTCTCTGGCCAAACCTGTACTGGTGCACCGAGATGACGGAGACGCACGAGCAGTGGTCCGACGCGAGGCGCGAGGAGAGGCGCGACGCCCAGGAGGCCAAGAAGAAGAAGGCAAAGTACGGCTATGATTCGGACGCCGAGGAGGACGAGGGCGGCGACGGCGGCGGCCAGCGCTCCAGCGTCAAGCGGTCGTTCATGACCAAGTGCCTCTCGCCGCTGCTTGGGTACGGATCCAACTTCGAGCTGCTCCAGTTCGTGTGCGACCTGAACCTCTGGGCGACGCTCGGTGCGAAAAAGAACCTGGGGCTCGACAACGTGCCGATGCGGATGCTCATGAAGGGCCATACCTTCTCGCCGCTCTACTGGAAGGAGGTGCACAATGCCCTTGTCGACCTCGTGCGCCAGGTGGGCTTCCCGAAGCTGTTCTTCACCATTGCGCCGTGGGAGCCGTGCTTCAAGTACCACGACTGGCTGCGCGATGAGATGGAGAAGACACTGCGGACACGCATGTACCTCCCCGTGGGGGAGACGCTGCACATGTCGCATGTGCTCATGCAGATCGTCCGAGGCATGCTGGCGGGCAATAACAACCAGAAGATGGACCGCAGCGGCCGCAGCTGGACAAAGCACGTGTTCGCCGCGACAGACGCCGACGGCAAACAGGTTCGCGTCCAGACGTTCACGCGGCTGGAGTTCCAGGACGGCAGCCGCAAGGAGGGCACGAAGCGCTACGACGGCTCTGGCCGACCGCACCTGCACGTCCTCTTCTTCGCGGACGACGACGCCATGTCGAACATGGGATTGGGGCATCACCTCTTTGCGACCAAGCCCCACGGCTTCTCGGACGACCTGAAGGGCTATGTGGACGGATCGCAGCTCAACAAGCACGGCGACGCAGAGAGCAAGTGGCCGATCTACCACGGCCCGTCGGGGGTGCACGGCGACGAAGGTGTCCTCCAGCTGAAGCACACCGAGGAGGATCACGACGCGGGCCTCCGAGCGTACTGCGCTGACGTAATGGACGGGCTCCCGTGCCATCAGGACTGGCAGACCAGCGACGGGGAGGCCATGCTCCTGCAATACGTCTCCAAGTATGTGGCGAAGTTCTCGGACAGCAGCTACGACGAGTGGATGAGCGACAAGGCCTCCGCGGACAGCGTGGCCAGGCGCGTCTGCTTCGAGTACCACCCCTACGAGCCAGAGATGATCCTGCAGCTGTGTGGAGCGCAATTCAGACAGTACGACATCTCTACGGTCAGCGGCGGCTTCCGCACCGTGACGGCGCCTTACTCGGGCATGGCGGATGTGCCCGACTGGGTCCAGAGGTATGCTGACTGCTCGTGGCGCCACGAGGGCATGACGCTCCTGGAGTGGCTTCGGAAGACTACTGGCGACGGCGCCATCGCTGGATGGCTGAAGCGCAAGCACAAGCAGGAGCTGGTGCTGGCCCTGTACAGGCGGTACCGCGCGACCGTGCCCGAGGGCGAGGAGCCCCAGGCGCTCGACGCTCACTGGCGCTTCCTGCGCGCTGAGTACAAAGGCATGACCGATGCTGATGGCGGAAGTAGCGGGAACAGTGACGAAGACTCCGACGCCGAAGACGAGGAGCAGCCGAAGACCTTCGAGGAGTTCCTCGCGAAGAAGCACAGAGACGAAAAGAGCGAGGGCGAGGACGACTTTCCCAGCCTCAAGGAGTTCGCGCGAGCCTACCGCATGCAGGGCGAGAAGGTGGTCAGCGTCGACACGGTGTACGAGCACAACGACCGCTACTACGGCCAGTGGGCTGCAATGAACGTGCCGTTCCGATCGCTCGGCGAGCTCGAGTTCGAGGATGTGAATCGCCTGGTTCCGCAGAAATACAAGTATCTCGCGGCGGCGCTGCGACAGTGCTCCGACCAGGGCCGCGTCGCTGAAGAGCACCATGACTTGTTCACCGATGGCAGGCGGCTCGTGGACTACATGAGCGCTTCCGCGAAGTCCAGCAAGTTCACCGAGGCTGTGCATCACATGATCGTGGGGCAGCGGAAGCTCATCAACATGTACCTGACGGGCATCATCGACAAGGCCGACGAGAAGGCCGCGGCCGACGCCGAGGCCGCGGTCATCGCCAACCGCATGCCAGCGCGCGGCGAGGGCCAGGAGGAGGTCGACTTCAACCCGAAGCAGTTGCAGCTGGAGGAGGCGATCAACGAGCGCGTGGACCGTGCCGTGCGGGCGGAGCTGTCGGAGGACTGGGAGGAGGCGGACGAGGCGCGCGAGGAAGCCTACAAGAAAAACACGCCCGTCATCTGCCTTGGGAAGCCTGGGACGGGGAAAACGACCGTGGTGAAGTCTTGCATTCGCCGCGCCCAGGAGCAAGGCGCGCGCGTGCTCTTCGCCCTCCCGACGGCGCAGCTGTCCAGCCGCATGAAGCAAGCACTGCAAGGCCTGGACGGCCTAACAATCGATACGTGCCACGCCGCCTTCAAGTTGCATGAGCCCATCTCGGAGAGTCTTCACAGGATGACGGACTTCGACTTGGTAGTGGTGGACGAGGTATCGCTGCTGAGCTGCGACAGTTTCGAGCGCATCCTGAAGCTGTGGAGCGTCGCTGGGAAAGTCCCCGCGCTGGTCTTCCTCGGGGACAAGTACCAGCTCCCGGGGGTCGAGCCGACACGTCCGTGGGAGAGTGCCGCATGGAAGCAGCCGCGCTGCTCCCACGTGAAACTCACCGAGACCTGGCGGTGCAAGGAGGAGCGCTTCCAGGAGATCCTGGACGAGCTTCGGACAGACAAGCCTTCGAAGGAGACGTTCCGCAAGATTGTGCGCGATCACAAGGCGTGGAAGAGCAGAGGCGATCCCACGCCCGCCGAAATGAAGAAGCTCTTCGAGAAGCACCAGACACGCGGATCGTCACCTGCACGCGCAGGGGCGCCGCGGCCGTGAACGAGGCGGCAGTCGCTTCGCTGTACGGCCGCAAGACCCCGCTGGCCACGCTGGACGGGGACGTGGAACTGAACCCCGAGAACTACCTGGATGGCAAGCTCCGCACGGACCGCAGGCTGGTTCCAAGCAAAGTGCCGATCTATAAGTGGATGAAGTTGTACCTGACGAAGAACAAGAACAAGGAAGCTGACGAGGTCAACGGCATGCTGTGCGAGGTGGAGAACTACCACGCCGAGGAAGACATGCTGCGCGTGATGACGAAGACTGGCCATCGTCTGGCCATCACTCGCTGGACCGATCGCGAGAAGGGCAACGCGGTCTACTTTCCAATCCGCCTCGGGTGCGCCAGCACCATCGACAAAGTGCAAGGCGACGAGTTCCCCCACATCACTATATACCTGGACGGATGGCCTCGGCCAGCAGCGGGGTATACAGCGCTCAGCCGTGTCGCGACGTCGGACGACTACCTGATTGGCGGCTACGTGGAGCGCGACAACTTCATACCCGCGTCCTGAGATTGCCGACGGAGCGCCGCGCGTTGGCTGGCGCGCGACCGCTCGCCTCTCGCAGTATCCACGCGGTGCGCCTGCCCCGCTGTCGCGTGCAAAGGCACGACCGTGCGCACTCCTGCTAGGAAAATGACGGTCTGTCAGTGCCACGTCGGGGAAGGGAAGGAAAGCAGCTGGAAGGGCATACGTAGAGATTGTCTGACGTTCTCGACACCCCTGGAGTTTCGAAACGGCGGGGAGGGGGAGCGCGAGGGGGCGGGTCTGGCGCCCCCTCGTACATGGCCACGGAAGGCGTCGTGTGATGCCCTCCCCGCTGTCGCGTGCAAAGGCACGAACGTGCGCATTCCTGTTAGGAAAATGATGGTCTGTCAGTGCCACGTCGGGGAAGGGAAGGAAAGCAGAAGGAAGGGCATACATAGTTGTGTGACGTTCTCGACACCCCTGGAGTTTCCAAACGGCGGGGAGGGGGAGCGCGAGGGGGCGGGTCTGGCGCCCCCTCGTACATGGCCACGGAAGGCGTCGTGTGATGCCCTTCGCGGCGGACTTCGCAGTGCGAGACGGCGCCGGGCGCGTGGCCCTCGCGCTCCCCCCCGTGAAACCCAGTGGGACTTAAAAAACGAGCCCTTGGAACTCCTCGGGGCTTGCTCGACGAGGTCTTGGGCGAATCACTTGGGTCCGCGGAGCCGTTCGGCGCATCTGCGTCGCTTTCTTTTTTCGCGTCGCTGTTTGTGCTGGATGCACCAGCAGGGCACCAAAGCATAGCCGAAGAAGCAGCCGCAGGCATGACGTTAGCACACCAAGAAGGCCCAAGGGGCCACCGTAGGCGTATTTCCACGTGCGTCAGCTCCCCAGCACAGCCAGAGAGGCCGACGTAGGGGTGTTTTCACGTGTAAGGCAGTCCCCAGGGGATGAGACCGACATGGAAGCGCTTGGGAGCGCCAGGGAGCGCCGGGGAGCGCCTGAGAGCTTGCCGGGAGCGCCTGGGAGCGCCTGGGAGCGCCGTGCGCCTGGGTGCATTGGGAGCGCTTTGGAGCGTGCCGAGGGTTTAGGGTTTAGGGTTTAGGGTTTAGGGTTTAGGTTTTAGGGTTTAGGGTTTAGGGTTTAGGGTTTAGGGTTTAGGGTTTAGGGTTTAGGGTTTAGGGTTTCCGAGCAGAACCATCCTATCCCCCCCTCACCAGGGTGTAGGGGGGGATGGATGGGTGCGTTGAGTCCCGCCCCATCCGCCCAGAGTCATTGCTTTTTGGGTTTAGGGTGGTCTACCCCCCTCGCTCCCCCCTAGCAAGGGGGGAAGTGTGCAGGCGTCGGCAAGAGTGAGTGGCCGCGTACCAGGGATGAATGAGAAGAGTCGTCCTTCGCGAAAGTTACGCGTGCGACCTAGGCCCGCGCGGGCGAAGAGTCGCACGCGTAGCCTTCCCCAGGGGCCGCCGCGTGGAGGCTGGACGTGACCCCTTGGCTTTCCTTTCGGCAATGGCCGGCCAGTCGCGCTCGGGGTGCGTCAAGCTTTGTAGCTCGCGGACCCAACGCGACGGGGCGGCCAACGCCAAGCGGAAGCCTCCCTCGTCCGCGAGCCTCCGCGTCTTGTTGGAAGCTCGGGGATGACGGCGCAGCTGCGCCTCGCCGAGATCCCGCGTGGGAATCGTCTGTGGGAGTCCGGCGGACGTCGGGAGATGGCGACGCGCGGGAGTACTGCGGCATGTGTATGCGATGGGCGAATCAGCGTGGGATTTGTCGCGGGGTTGAACATCCCACGCAGCAGCGGGGGTAAGCAAGTTGCGTTGCAGACGCAGCAGTGGGTCTGTGAGAACATTAAGCAGGAGCTCGAAACCAAGCCCACAGGAGAACGCAGACCGGCGCCACAGTCGCCCACCGAGCCCCGAGCTCGGAGTTTCGCCCAAGTTCGGAGCCCGAGCCGGAATCAGAGCCCGAGCCGGCACCGCGCCGGAGCCCGGGGGAATGTGAATCCGGTATATCGGTAATATTCCTTGGTTTAGCTCTCCCAGAGAGGTCTGCGCACGCTCTTGAGGATATGTTTTGTTCACTACCCTGGGAACGATCCTCTGGGAGCTCCTTCACGCCAAGAGCTCTGGAGGGGAGCTATGGGGGGGAGCTCTGGGGGAGAGCTCTGGAGGGAGAGCTCTGGGGGAGAGCTCCGGGGGAGAGCTCTGGGGGAGAGCTCTGGGGGAGAGCTCTGGGGGAGAGCTCTGGGGGAGAGCTCTGGGGGAGAGCTCTGGGGGAGAGCTCTGGGGGAGAGCTCGGGGGGAGAGCTCTGGGAGAAAGCTCTGGGGGAGAGCTCTGGGGGAGAGCTCTGGGGAGAGAGCTCTGGGGGAGAGCTCTTGGGGAGAGCTCTGGGGGAGAGCTCTGGGGGAGAGCTCCGGGGGAGAGCTCTGGGGGAGAGCTCTGGGGGAGAGCTCTGGGGGAGAGCTCTGGGAGGGAGCTCTGGGGGAGAGCTCTGGGGGAGAGCTCTGGGGGAGAGCTCTGGGGGAGAGCTCTGGGGGGAGCTCTGGGGGAGAGCTCTGGGGGGAAGGGGGTCTCGTTGTGGGAGCCCACAAGGAGCCTGGGGGAGCTCGTTATGGGAGCCCACAAGGAGCCAAGGAGCCCGGGGGAGCTCGTTGTGGGTACCCCCCAGAATCCTCCGTGATGCCGGCCGGCATCAGGGAGGATTTGGGCCGGCGGACGCACAGAACCTTTGGACCATTGGATTTACGCCTTCGGCAATAAAACCTGCCCCAGCGCGCTCTTCCAGAGAAACCAAGCGTTCTGGGGTCAGTTTTAAGCAAATCCGGAGGTTTTTAAGCGCCGATACAAGTGCTTGGATATCAGAGAGGCTGCATGCGAGCGCGACAAGGGGGACCAGCGCGGCGGCGGGCAAACCCAAGCGCTAATTTTACGATTTCGGCTATCTAAGCGCCGCAGCGCGCTTCCGTAGCGAAGCCAGGCGTTCTGGGGCAGTTTCTAAGGAAATCCAATGGTTTTTAAGGGAAAGCCTAAACCCGCGGCCCAATACCCTAAACTCACCAGGGCCGGCCGCGATTTGGGAGCATCCGGCCCCGGGTTAGGGGTTATGTGTTTCTGAGCGAGACACAGCCTCAGGCCGGCAGGCCGATTGTGGCGGTGAGCTCGACTGGCAGCTCGCTCTCACTAGCAGATCCTTACAGGCGTGGCGATGCGCGCCCCCAGGGCCGCGCCTGCAGTTTAGGGTTTAGGGTTTAGGGTTTAGGGTTTAGGGTTTAGGGTTTCCGAGCAGAACCATCCTATCCCCCCCTCACCAGGGTGTAGGGGGGGATGGATGGGTGCGTTGAGTCCCGACCCATCCGCCCAGAGTCATTGCTTTTAGGGTTTAGGGTGGTCTACCCCCCTCGCTCCCCCCTAGCAAGGGGGGAAGTGTGCAGGCGTCGGCAAGAGTGAGTTGCTTTACGAGTCTTCTGAGTCTTATGAGCCTTTTGCGTCTTCTGAATTGAGTCTTCTTATCCGGCTCGAGCGCCGGCCCAGGTGCCAAATCGGCCCAGAAGGGTCCCTGGGCGCCGGAACGGAAAATCAATATTTTCAAATATTTTCAAAAGAGAAATGTTTCTTGGAGTGGCCTTTTTTTCGGCACCGCCTCGGAATTCAATTTCCGGCGCCGGAACCGGCCCGGGCGCCAGCTCGGGCGCCGGCCCGGGCGTCCGGCTCGAGCGCCGGCCCGGGTGCCGGAATCGGCTCGGAAGGGCCCCGCGCGCCGGGAGCAGAAAATCAATACTTTCGAAAGCAAAATGTGTTTTGGAGATGCCTTTTTTCGGCACCGCCTCGGAATTCAATTTCCGGCGCCTGCCCAGGTGCCGGAATCGGCCCGGAAGGGTTCCTGGGCGCCGGGAGCAGAAAATCAATATATTCGAAAGAAAAATGTGTCTTGGAATGGCTTTTTTTCGGCACCGCCCTGGAATTCAATTTCCGGCGCCGGAACCGGCCCGGGCGCCAGCTCGAGCACCGGCCCGGGCGTCCGGCTCGAGCGCCGGCCCGGGTGCCAGAATCGGCCTGGAAGGGTTCCGAGCGCCGGGAGCAGAAAATCAATATTTTCGAAAGCAAAATGTGTATTGGAGTGGCCTTTTTTCGGCACCGCCTCGGAATTCCGGACCGGGCGCCGGCCCGGGCATCCGGCTCGAGCGCCGGCCCAGGTGCAGAATCGGCCCAGAACGCTTCCTGGGCGCCAGGAACAGAAAATCAATATTTTCGAAAGAAAAAATGTCTCTTGGAGTGCGCTTTTTCGGCACCGCCTCGGAATTCAAATTCCAGCGCCGGATAGCCTGGGCGCAGCTCGGGCGCCGCCCCGGGCGTCCGGCTCGAGCGCTGGCCCGGGAGACCTCGATCCGCGCGGGTGACTAGTTGCGCGCATTAGCTTTTCTAGCTCGTTGCGGGAGCCCGCAAGGAGCCCGGAGGGAGCTCGTTGTGGGAGACAAGAAGCGCAAGGAGGCTGCTTGTGGGGCTCGTCGGCGCTTAGATAGCCGAAATTGTAAAATTAGCGCTTGGGTTTGCCTGCCGCCGCGCTGGTATCCCTTGTCGCGTTAGCATGCGGCTTCTCTGACACCGATGCACTTGTATCGGCACTTAAAAACTTACGGATTTGGCCAAAACTCCAGAACGCTTTGGTTCTCTGGAACAGCGCGCTGAGGCAAATTTTATTTTCGAAAGCGAAAATCCAATGGTCCAAAGGTTGTGCGCGTCCGCCGGCCAAAGTCCGCTGGATGCTCGCGCCTGGGCCGGATCTGGCGCAAGCGCCAAAGGCGCCGGAAATTGAATTCCGAGGCGGTGCCGAAAAAAAAGGCTACTCCAATGCACATTTTGCTTTCGAAAATATTGATTTTCTGCTCCCGGCGCCCGGGAACCCTTCCGAGCCGATTCCGGCACCTGGGCCGGCGCTCGAGCCGGACGCCAGGGCGCACTAGCTGGCGCCTGGGCCGGTTCCGGCGCCGGAAATTGAATTCCGAGGCGGTGCCGAAAAAAGGCCACTCCAATACACATTTTGCTTTCGA